GTCACCTAAAATACGAGGAACTGTGTTAAAGCACACACATACACACATACGTACACGCATACACACGCGCTCCACATGAAAGCCTTAATAATTCTATAGTATTGTGAAAGCAGCCCGGAAGACGAAGACGAAGACGAAGACGAAGACGAAGACGAAGACGAAGACGAAGACGAAGACGAAGACGAAGACGAAGACGAAGACGAAGACGAAGACGAAGACGAAGACGAAGACGAAGACGAAGACGAAGACGAAGACGAAGACGAAGACGAAGACGAAGACGAAGACGAAGACGAAGACGAAGACGAAGACGAAGACGAAGACGAAGACGAAGACGAAGACGAAGACGAAGACGAAGACGAAGACGAAGACGAAGACGAAGACGAAGACGAAGACGAAGACGAAGACGAAGACGAAGACGAAGACGAAGACGAAGACGAAGACGAAGACGAAGACGAAGACGAAGACGAAGACGAAGACGAAGACGAAGACGAAGACGAAGACGAAGACGAAGACGAAGACGAAGACGAAGACGAAGACGAAGACGAAGACGAAGACGAAGACGAAGACGAAGACGAAGACGAAGACGAAGACGAAGACGAAGACGAAGACGAAGACGAAGACGAAGACGAAGACGAAGACGAAGACGAAGACGAAGACGAAGACGAAGACGAAGACGAAGACGAAGACGAAGACGAAGACGAAGACGAAGACGAAGACGAAGACGAAGACGAAGACGAAGACGAAGACGAAGACGAAGACGAAGACGAAGACGAAGACGAAGACGAAGACGAAGACGAAGACGACGACGACGAAGACGACGACGACGACGACGACGACGACGACCACGACGACGACGACGAAAAAATATAGGTGACACAGAAAGCCTCATTCTACTTAAATAAAATTATAATTGGTTGCAATGCCGAGTATAAATAAAGATATACGAAATTATGGGGTCCAGCGATAGAGGAAATAATATGGAAGACCTCGATATTCTCAATGATGAACCGGAATTTAAGAATGGAAACAATGATCATCATCAGAAATATATGTATAACCAAAATAGTAACATGCATATGTGCTGCCTACTTCGATAATGTCGTCTACTATTTTGATTATACCAGCAATTGCCTGCATTAAGCCTAACAACACATGCGTGTACATGCATGTAGACACGTTATACACGTTCCATACAAAACACGAAACCACATGCACACGCATGACATCAGAAGAATGCATAAATAAAAATTTAGCTGTTTTGCTATAGTTTTGAACTCTTAATTTCAGGGATGAAAAACTAGACCTTTGGACATCTAGTATTGAATTCCTTGACCTAGCGTAGCCATTATCGAACTCATCATAGCAGAATTTTTCAAATTCTTCCAATGCTAAGCACTCGCAGCTGTGTCGGGCTTGCTAATGACTGCGTTAGGTTAAGATAGCTTAGAATTCCAATGCTATATTTTGATAGAATTCCAAGGTTATATTTTTCTAGATTGTGTTTTGTATTTAAAAAAATTCTTGGAATTGCAAGGACAATAAGACATGAAAAACATTGAAATACGAGGTAGACCATCAATGTTAGCAATGACCATATAATGTTACCAACAAAATAATAAATTTGCAGTACCTTGAAGTTTGGGTGACCGCAGTATTCAAAAATCTTGAACGATAGTTTTTCATAGTAATACTTGGGTACCGAGAACAAAAAACTGGATTACTCGAATATAAAACGATACTTCAGTTTATAAACCGAATCGTAGGAAACGATAATCAGAATTATAACAGCATAAGAAATGATGATTCGAAATACCTGAATATTAAGGAGGTCCTATCGTTGCATATTAATCAATTGAGAAACTTGAACACTGTTTTTCTATAAGTTATCATTACTGAGTACGTCGATGTAACGCCATATCGAAAGATTAAATATTTAGAGTGAAATTTTCGGACAGTCTAAAACGTGCCCTGACTTCATCAAAAATTGAGTTTTCAATTTATGACATCAAAAAGTCCGCTTGGAACAGTAATTACGACATAAAAGAATTGTCCTTTTACCCCTCCATCTTTTATCATTTTTTCCTGCCATTATTCTTCTTTATGATGGATACGTCAAGAGCCTTATATAAGAGCGACCAGCGCACTGTACATGTGCATAATTGTATTTGAAAGAATTCCTTAAATCCTAAAATTTCTCAAAACCCATACCGACCTCTCATAGTGACGTCGATAAAGGAAAGGGAAACACGACCTTTAAATTTCTAATATTGTATAATTCTCTTGAAATGAGTCATAGCGACAATCATTAGAATAAAATATTAGAACTTAAAACTAATAGAATTTAAAACTAGTTGGAGCTACTGGAATCAAAACAAACAAATTCCAAAGCGTTATCGACCGGCGCGTTGAACACAATGCAAACATCATTAAGCCGGTACTTGAAGTAACTGCTAATACAATTAGTCAAATTAAAATATTAAATTCAATATTAAATTAAATCATTCTTTGATAAATTGAAATTACAGAAATCGTTATCCCCATTAAAAATAAATTGTTCCTCCCGACTATATAAGCATTGGTTTTGTCAGTAGGAATTCATTCGGTCCAAGTTCGTCAAACGACAAGTCTACACCACAAAGTGACAAGGAGTAATAAAATCTTGAAAAACAATAAATGTTAAGAATCAATTAGAAAACCAATCCTGCTTTCTAGGGCAAGCCAGTGAACAGTATTATACTGCAAATTGTCGGAGTTCATGCTTAGCAATTTCTGGTCTCAGGGAGCATAATGTCTCATCTGAGTATCAGGAACTCTGCTGTCATTTCCAGATTCTCTGCAGCAAAGTCATTGTGCCGGCGCTGTCAGAAATCGACCTAACTGCACCAAATCAAATACTTCAAGAGTTCAGTTCCAAACGCCATTCTGATTAGTAGCTGTCTGAGCTTTCACAGTCCTCACCAGGTCTAAGGAGTCATTGTGATATTTCTTAGTGCAGGGAAGGACCTTCTAAAAACATCTGTATCAACTTGCAGTAAAGTTATTTTAATAGAACTGTCAGAAGTACAGATCTACCTTATCTCGAACGGCCTACTAAAAAAAGACTCAGCTCCCAACGTCATCGTAATTAGTAGCTGTTTGAGTCAAAACCTCTCACAACAATAATATATTCGACGAACCGAAATTATTATGATCACCTGTGGTTCTGAGCTATTATCATCCTTGTTCTCATCTGGTCTACAATCACCGGATGCATCGTGCAACCTGCTGCATTGTTATTTCAGCTATCTCTTTTTCTATTCTGGAAAATACCTAGATACAGGAAATTACGGAGACGAACATCTGGGCACTCTGCACTTTCACGTCCGACACCTACATACAGGAAACTACGGAGAGAAACACCTGGACATCGTATATCTCTAAAAACTGTTACCTGAAATACGAGGAACTATGTCGCAGCACACACATGCGTATATCCATTATACACACGCGCTCCATATGAATGCTGTCACACTTTCCGTATGAGCTAAAGATTTCATAATTCTATATCATTGTGAAAGCAGCCTTAGCCATTTCCAGTATTAGAAATTTGGTGTGAACTGTAGCTTCATGTACAAAATGTATTTGATTGTGTTGTGTATTCGTAAATTACCAACACTATCCAGAGTACACATAGCTAAATAAGGCAAAGCAGCCAGCGCCATCCAGCGTGTGAAAAAGTAAATGGATGTGCGAAGAAGATGACGACGACGATGACGGACCTGAAATAAAATCATCTCACTTGCCATCTCAATACTCCCTCATCTCGTACATCAATCTCACTGATTTTGATGACAATCAATTTAGCACCCTCGATTCCTATAGTGAATGTATCAATAACTTTTTTTTTCACACATAGTTGTTCATAAGTTAGTTGATTCCAAACACAGGTACATGAGATGCTTCGAGTAAAGAGTCTCGGCGGCTAGTGCCATATACGGCGGGTTGCCTGTACTTGGCGGGAGACTCGACCTAATCTCTTAATATGTATAATTTAACATGATTCATTCACTACAATTTTACAGTTTCTTATACGGTCGCATGGTTAGCGGTGCTCATTAAAATTACCTATAATTTTGAGTTTTGTGTACATAATTTCTTGTCGGAACTAAACTAATACGTTTACGCGCGCTCACATGTTATTGCGACAATAATATTTTTCTTCGTGTAAATTCGTCAGGGTAACTAATTACCCCAGGGTACTATCGCACAAACCTCTTTAACCGTCTCGCGAGTCACATTCATCCGAAGTCGCGAAACGTCTCAATATACACCTACCAACAACAAAGAAGTTCTATTTTTAAAAATATATGAATAGTCGGTATGCGAAAGAACAAAGTTTTTACTATATTTTTTCATATCAAAATTAAATCATAAAATAAAGTCCCCATTCCGGGCACATTTAGGAGAAGACCACTTCACTTTGAAATATAATATTGAACATTATTGGAGGCCCCCCAGCCCCATCCGCCGGATTTCCGGTTGTATCTTCAAAAAGTATTTACAGAATTTTCTTTTAGCGCCTTGAATACCAGTATTCGAAATCCGTGACCGAATTTAATGTCTTGTATATTTTTTGTCGAAAATAGCTTCATGATGATAGGTTTACCCACAGTTAAAAAAAAATTTTAATTTGTTTATATTTTTATAAGGAAAAAATGTTATAACTTATTGACGGTCAATTATTTTAAACAAGCTCAAAGTTGATGTACCATTAAAAGCACCTACCACCGAGACACAAAGGATTATTTATGTCAGAAGTAAATTAGTGACTGACTTTATCTACATAATGATAGAAATATCTAGAGGACGGTGCTGCCCTCAGTGAAAGTTTACATCTATATTTTCAGAATTCACTATACTTAGAACGGTCGGTAATACAGAATAGTGCAGCCATGTATTGATGTATCACGTTTCCAGGGGCTACTAAAACCCCTGGTACAAGGTTGCCAGTGGGACAATTTTACACAAAGTGTTATTTATTCAAGAAAGTCGCTAAGGAAACATTGTTGCTCACGGCACTATATTTTTCGACCTGCATAGTTCATGTGCGGTTTTGTAATTACATTCCGACCGTGCGGTTCTTTTGTTTAGAATTCAGTTCTGATATCTCGAGGATCTTCTGGTGTTAATTAATCAATAAATTACAAGAAAAATGAGACCAAGCGATAGCGAGTCACAAAAGTTCAGTTCCCGAGCTCAGAGTATAACTTCCTCGAAGATGAAGATCAACACCTCCGGGAGAATTCGTAGGGCCGCTCCAAAAAATATAACGTCAATTCTTCAACAACGACAGGATCTTCGTGTAATAGAAGATGGCGTGGATATGACGCCAAAACCATTGGTTCATTTTTTCTATCCCAGTATAGAGGAGAAGCAAGTAACGGCCTTTGATACTTTCGGTTTCCGGGAAGCACCAAGCAGTTCGCAATTAGTGATATCCGCTTCCGCTCACGGAGGACTTAAGGCCAGTTCCTCTCTTGTCATAAAAACATCATCCGTGCAAACTGCAGTTCTGGTACCAGAAGACATAGTGTTCGACAGTTTGACGTCGACACAGATCCAGGAATCGCCTTTGCAATCAATTGATGAAGACAGGGCCCCCTCGCAATTTTGTTTACCCAGGTGAGAGTATAGATAAATTTGATAAATAACTTTGTGAAATAGTAATTACTTCTTTCAGGTACAACTCTGATATCTTTCACGTACCTCCTGCCAAGGTAACAATTACTCTTAAGGAGACAGAAACAGTCTTCATCTTTGAGATGCCACAGCTTACTGAAGATTTAAGAACACCAGAGGGTCAAGCTGTGAAGAGTGATAATGAGCGTTATGAATATATTACAGTGGGCGCAGGGTCGAATAGGAAATTAGCTACAGCCGAGACTCAGACACCTTGCGTCCACATGAAAACGAGGTCCAGTTACTTGGGTAGACATCAGCGTCGTAATCAGGGCACATTTGTCAATAACTGGGTACTGTACGACACATTTGCTGAGATGGAAGCCCTAGGATTGACGGGTAACCTCGTGCTTTTCACCGACGAGGCCATAAAGAATCTATGGAAAGGAGAGGTTCGTCGAGTTATCCTAATAGAGCAATGGTAGGCAAAAGTATTGAGTCAAAACTGCAAGATGAAGAAATGATACATATGCAGGAGAACAGGATGAAGTTACCAAAACTGACGACAATGGATATTATGAACCCTGAAGATCAGTTGGCAATAATAGGCAAAACTAAGGAGTTCAAGGATGCTGTACGAATCGTGACGAGAATCATTTCCAGCAATCTGTACATCGTGGCGCAGAAGAGATTCAAGGGTCTTATTGGACAAGATCCATGCAGCTTGAGTTTAGAGTTCACCTACAGTCTAGACCTACTGTGGAAGCATACATATTACATTACGCAAGGGCGACCAGTATCGTGCTTCCGGTGGAATTACATAAATCAGAACGTCCTGGCCGCTGGTTACGGTGCTGCACCAAGTGCAGATTCCAAGACAGGATTGGTATTGATCTGGTCCATTAAGAATCCCAGCCTACCAGGTCGCGTTTACACTTTTAATAGTCAGGTATCAGACATGGATTGGAGTAGGGATAAGCCGAATTTATTGGCAGTAGGATTTTATGACGGCGTCGTTAAGGTCATCGACGTAAGTAGCTTGAATCTGGTAGTGATGCGTTCTAGTCGCAGATCCGCGTCACCCTCGTATGCACCCCATTGGCAGGTACAGTGGTGGGAAGGCGAGGAGCAGTTTGATTTTCAGGAACAAATTTACACGAGTAACCAAGATGGCCGTATCCTGTGTTATCGGTCTGGCGAGGATTTCACGGCTACGGAGATCATGAGGATATCCAGGGTAGAAGGAAAAATTAGGGGGGTCAAGAGAACAAATCATTGTGCCGTTTACGATATTCCCATAAGCAGGAATTCTGGTGCACTGTTGCTTAAGCGTCATCCTACCCTGAGCAACATATACTTTGTTGGGTCTGACGAAGGCTGTGTTCATCGATGCTCGACGAATTATCTTCATCAGCATATCGAGGGCTTCCTGGCGCATGACGGTCCTATCTACTCGATGGAATTCTCGCCGTTTTGCTCAAAGATATTTCTTACGTGCGGTGCCGATTGGTGCACCAGGATCTGGGCTGAGGGGATCTTCGAGCCACTGATTACTTTGTCTACGCAGATGGCCTGCGTACGGGCTGCTACTTGGAGTCCTACAATTTCCACAGTGATAGCTTGTACCGTTAATAACGAGATCTGTCTCTGGGATATCAAGAGAAAGACTTACGTGCCGACCTCGATCACGATTTCCACGCACGCTGAGAGATTTCTGCTACTTGAGTTCACTAAGAACGGAAGTCAACTTGTCGCGGCTGATATCGATGGCGCTATCTACGTCTACAGTCTAGAAGGCATGCCATTTCCACCCTATAATCAGACCCGAGTTCTCGTCAATTCCATTGAGAGAGCTTTGATTACCAAGCCAGCTTTACTTAGAAAGCTGAAGAAGCTTGGAGAACCATTTTAATACTTACTACGTAAATTTCAATATTGACACTAAAAATATAGAATTGCAACAGGTATGTACATTGAAATTTTTTTAAAAATTATTTTCTTTCTAATAATGTACAAGGTAACGTTTGTCCATGAAGTAAGTAAAACATTGCCTCATAAATTTTACTCTATCCTTTAATTGATACTCGCCGTAAACTAACTTCAAACGATTATCAGGCACTTACGTACGAAGCGGGCATCTTTCAGGATCATTTAGAAGTTTAAAAACTTTCTCATAAAACCAACCGTGGAACATCGTTCGCATCATTCGCCATATTTATATCAATCGTTTATATACGTAGTGACGTGTAAACCTATAGGAATAACGAAAGCCAAGTAATCGATTCATAAATCAGAACCCTAATCTCCTATAAATTTTCTCATTACACCTCAATACTCATCAATTAATACTGTCAATTGATGCATATAATTTTATTAAAACGCTAACAAGCTAACATTCTGTATAAATTCTCTTAGCATCAGAGAAGCATTAAATATTCTACAAAGTATGGAGTAGGTAAACAAGGTAAGGATCTGCCTTATCGACAGTAAGGCCTATCCGGCACGTGGGGACCCCTTTGGCGCATGTGAATCTGTCCCAAGTTAAAAATACGTGTAGTCAGGTCGAGTAAAGAAGTATAAAAAAAAGTGCCGGCGCGTCGCGTGATCCGAGCCGAGCGAAGAAGGCAAAGCGACTACTTGGATTTACGCTGGGACCTACGGTTAGGACCCACTCGGAACTCAGGCCCGGTAGGCAGCCAAGGCAGCCATCGATGCTGGCTGCGCTTACTGCTGGAGGTGAGTTCAGGAGAGTGCCCAGGTAGAGAGGGGTTTCTGCCGCTTGCGGGCACGATCTGCGCTACCACCGTCAGCAGGCAGTCTTATTACGCCCGCACTCAACTACGCGAACTAAGTACTTATAGGCCGGTTTTAATAGTCGACGAAAGGGCCCACTATACCGATCATTTTGGGCCCTGGCAAATAATCGAATATCTACAGAATGTAACGACACAGTACGCAGACTTTTTTAATGGTGTATTGGATTATTAAATCTACCAGCTAGAACCGTGACAAGGAGCCAAATTTCGTGTATGAACCTAATCGATAACGATTCAACCGATCACAGGTAAATTCTTTAATTATTGAGAAACCGATTGAGAAACCGATTGTTTGCTTCAACTGTTATCTAAAATGGGTACATAAAAAATTAGTTGTTGTCACGAATTCATTTATATGTATCGAATAAAAGTTGTCGCGTCTTCATTGCCGTTTTTTTATGCTGATGATAGTCAATGGTAACCTTTCATCCGAACGATTATTTGATTAACACATTGTATAATTCATTGAGGAATGTCTTTATGTGATGGCTGTATTTTAGTCGTGTGAACCGAGCTTAAAAGAGTCTAACATGCGGAATCACGGGCTATAGTGGTGAAGTCGATGTTGCTCAGGCACGAGCTACAACCGTAACCGGCTAACTTATCCATTGTGAACTCTGACCGTGTCCACCAGGAGGTAGAACGGTAAACCGAGAGTCCCGAATGCGATTTCGGAATCGCTGGCCCTCGGATATATAGATTCCTGGGAGTGGGATCCCACTCGCGTTGTACCTTGACGTCGTGTAAATCGCCTGCAACTAGTCGCCAGGGCATTATGGATTGAACGCTTGAGGAGTTAACGGCTACGGAGTATAGCCAGAGCGGTTCGTTTGCGAAATTACACGTTTCGACGTACATTCGGTGCGCTATGAACATCAACGTCGGCGAGTGTAACGGGTGCTTCACAAGTAAGTGCAAGAAGATACTGAATTTTACTTAAGAGGGTGAGAGGAAGGTTCGAGTGATTATTTATTATTAATTCTATACAAGATGCATGAATTTTTCCAGTGAATTTATTAAAATTCTAACCTTTCACGCGTTACTTTTTTAAGAAATTTTTCTTCCTTTATCTTTCCTCGTTATTCTTTGTACGGTTCACGAGGCGTGCATGGATTTATATATACCATCGAACTGGTCTGTGATATTAGCATAATACAATCAACTAATGATCTTTCCGTACGTATCCGCTTTGTGGATTATATTAGGTTTCTTTGTACTATAATGAATCATTAGATATGATATTTGCTGTATCATCGAGTATATGCACGTGATAGATATTTGTTAGCTTCGGCGACAATGAGAAGGTACTGTTAAGTAGAATTTGGGGCGAGTTTGGAATGGAAGTAGCCAAGGTTGACCGGACAATGTAGTTTGGAAAGAAATTTAGGAGGGAGATTGCACTCTTAAAAGTATTCGATATTTCACGGCTAAATTTACCTCCGATCAAGAATTTAATTAGCTGTGGCAATGATTGGATATCCGACGAATGAATGAAGCATAACGCATAATGCACTTGTAAAGTCCACCGATCCATTCTGGGGCAGTGAGGGTTTTATCTTTAATGGCACGATGGCCGCTGCCTATTGGCCTAATCGTGACCATGCATCACGTCTCTATCTCCATCTATTCCTCACGTATTACGCCGTGAATACCTACTCCGCGTCGACATTATCGTGGATAATTTGGTATTTACCCAGGAACGATCAGAAAACTTTCCCTCCATCTTTGAGACACACTGGGGAAACAATTTTTTACTTACGCAAAAGACAAAATAAGGCTATAAGCTAGACTTTACATACTGCACATACTGCTTCACGGAAAATACTGATTAAACGTGTCTTACGTTGCAAACTGCGGGGGCGCGATTATAGCTAATAAACTCGAAGAAAAGAATTGACTGCCGGGATAAAAATCATCAGATTCCTGTTTCCTGCAAAGTGGGATTTGACACTCCCACAGGATACCAAGAATGCAATCAAAATGGTACGCAGTACGTAGGTGGTTCCTTAAAGTTCACGTAATTGTCTTTGTAAGAAAGAAGGTTCCTTCAGAAGAGATATACTGTATGTAAATATAAATATGAATATGATTTGTGGTCTATCGTGATAAATTTTGAAATTAGAATCACTATCAGATCAGCTACTTATTGGACTAATAATAACAGTCACTGGTCTCGACTTGAATCATGCATCCTTGTACCATCCTGAAACAGGCAGAAGTTGATCCTGTCGCAGTATTTGGAACCAGTTGAATGCAGTTCGACTGTCTCATCCACATACCACAGGCTAACCTTATGTCCGATTGAAGTCTCGCACTTTCTTATCGATGGTGCTGCAAATCACGAGCAATACCATCTTCTGGTAGCTATCGGGACCCTGGAGAAGCTACAGCGGATGGACGTGTACCTTGGCATACTGGATGTGTGAGATAACACTGGGTCCACGAAATTGCATGATGCTTTTTCTTCGGCTGCTATGGCAATTAGCATTTGGGCTACATGGGACAACCCCGTATGAAAATATATAAGATACCGGCTTCTCCAAGTAAACTTGTTTATCAAGTTACAACTCAGCTCTCGATCGGTTAGGCGTTGCTGACTCCAAGCATTTGTACATATCGTTTCTTCGAAGAAATTTTTATAGATATTCACTTTGCAATATCGGATAGGCAGAATAAAAAAAGAGAATAAATATTTACGAAATCCATTTTGAGGCTGTGTCAGATCTCAGGACGATGTCAATTTCGATGTAGAGTGCGTAACGTCCGGGTGCCGAGTGAGCTCCGGCATTTGTCCAATTTACGTTACGAGCCTCTACCGAGAAGTTATCAACATAATCGTAAGATAAACGCCCCTCATAAAATTAAAAAGCTCGCACTCTTCCATAGCCGTACCATGGGATACAGCGTGGCTCTGTCATTTTCTTACCTTCCTTTTTCCCTCTGATTCTTTATTTTTTTTTCTGCACCCATTCGACTCCGTCGCCAATCGGTAGAGGGTCTCGATCAGAGCGGTGTAATCGTTCTACACGGTAATTATTTCAGAGGAAGACAACTCTTATTCAGCAGGACAAAGTGACTGTCACCATTATCAGTCTGAGGACCTTACGTTACTCGATGAGTGTGGCTTATAGAGTCCGTTGATTCCTATAGTGCTCATCTTCTTGCAAACAGTCATGTTTTGATCCACTCCAACCTAGCAGCCTAATAAGAAAAACTTCTGATACACATTTTTCATAAGATAGTCCTGCTGCTGGCGGTAAAGCCATTCGATGGACTTTGATCGAAATATGAAGCAAGGTATCAATAATCGTATTATAGGATTACGGTGAATCAATGAAATTTGTAATATGTCGAATTTTCCAAATTTTCTATATTCATAAGTGGCAAAAAGATCTATAGGCTTTAATGCTTCAAGACCCTGATGGTACGGATATTAAAGATTACAGAAAATATGTTGTATACTATGTATATTAAAGAAATCCAATCAAACACGAAAATGAGGTAATCAAATTCGTTAAATGGGTCTTTTTGGTTAAATCGAGATATCTCCCCATGTGACTCTAGTTCTACAAAATAAATACTGAGTCAATAGTGTAAAGAACTCGTTAACATTAAGCATTTATTCACAACGCGCACAGACCCTTTATTCAAGGGACAATTCTCGAACACGGTAGCTGTTCGTGACGGTCCGTGGTTGTTGTTCCTCGGTTAGTCTGTGCTTAGCACGTGTGCCGCATTTACCGTGAAGGTTTCGAGTGCGAGGAAAGAGAGTTGCGGAGCTCGTGAATGCCGGCAGCATTCGTGATGATGCGAGCGTGACTCGCTTCCTCGGCGAGGAAGAGGCCCCACTACGCAGTCCATTGTCATACAAACTCCAGAAGGTAACTCTCTACGTCTCTCCTGGTCGGCTTGTCTACCTGCCTTTTGCTTAGGAGTAGGTACTCCAGGAAGATAGGTAGGTGCTCCATACAAGCATCGGAAACTCCTAGCGCTAGTAGATATGCTATGTACAGTTAAGGCGCTGCGACGCCTTAACTCGAGTTCTGCACAAGTCGGGTTGGGTCTCCCGGAACGAACGAAATGGACGAAGCGTGGCGAACGCTGGTTTTGTCGAACAGGACAATAGAAGAGATTGCTTACTTTCCCTTTTTGCTTCCTCATAGAGGAAGCTATGTTTTTATGAAAAATTTTTTTTTCGAGATTTTCATGGTAGAATACTTAATATGGTCTAAAACGTCAAGAAAAGTAGTTTAGAAAAAATGTCCGTATGTATGTATGTATGTGCGTGTGTGTGTGTGTGTGTGCAGGGCTTCGAAAATTCAATTGCCTCTTACTCAGTAACCGTTGGAACGATCGGACTGAAATTTGGCACGCAAGTAAAGTAGATATCCCTCTTTAAATGTTGCGATTTTTAATGAAATATATGCAGCCATTTAGATTTTATGTCATTTAAAATTGTTTGAAAAAAGGGCGTGGTCGCTCTAACTTTCGTAAAGGTTCGACGATTTAGCTAAATAGTTCTTCATAACTGTAGATATGTTCAATGTTGTTTGGTATTGAATTTCGACAAGATCGCTAAAGCGGTTCAGATTTTACGTGTTTTGAAATTTTCAAAAAATTATCGTTATTGTTTTTTTTTACCTCATTTTTAAGTTTTTATTCATGTAAGTACCAAAGTTCAATTGTACATAACTCGCGAAAATAAATAAAAGAACTTCCTCATAGTGGAGGCTTTGTGAACGAAGGAAAAGAATCAAGAAGCAAAGTGTAAGATTC